TAAGGAACACGACGAGGTTACAAACAACAACAATAAAATAATCTACGCGTACAGATTTTTTTATATCAATTATTCAAATATGATTTTTTATGAAGACACTATATTTTTTTACATAACTGAATAAAATAAGAATATGTAAGGATTTACTGCCTGTACAAGTATTTACATGTAATATAAAACGGTGGCAATCGCAAGCCCGACAATCGAAATCCCGTCTATCGAAATCCCGTCTATCGAAATCCCGACGTTCGAAATCCCGAGTGTATCGAAATCCCGACGTTCGAAATCCCGAGTGTATTGAAATCCCGACGTTCGAAATCCCGAGTGTACCGAAATCCCGACTACCATAATCCCGACAATCAAAATCCCGTTAAAAAAAGTTAAAATATAGTTATATAAATGTAAATAATTGTAAAATGTTTAAATTTATTAAAAATAAATTTGTTATGAATAGTAGAAATAATATTTAGCAAATATTATTTGAATTTGAATAAGTTTTTACATGTATTTTTATCAAATTAAATGATAATATTTCAATAATAATTGTATAATTTTAATACAATTATTTATATATTCATAACCAATGTGTATTATTTTATATGAATTTATTTTGAATACAAATAAATATTATACAAATAAAATAATACAAATTGGAAGTTACAATAGTTTTGCTATTAAAGCAAACACATTTAGTTAAATAAGAGATTTATAGTTGTGAACATGCAATTAATATGAATAATTCCAGTTACTTTAGTCTATCGTGAACCTGTTTAAATCTCCGTTCGAATGTCTTCAGTGCATGCGAGACGCGTAGCTCAATAAGTCTCTATTTCGTGAGTTGCATCAGTAAATCACCTGTCAAAGTAAGCTCTAAATCAGCTCTTACAACAAATTACCAACGATTAACACTCGTATTACAAATATAAACTTAAAATATAGAACAATTTCTTTACGTAATTATATTAATTAATAAAATCTATTTTTTCTATTAATATAGATACAATTATAACGCAAACTTTGTAATTGCTCTTGTATACCTACCTACCTACTTTTTTTTAAATTTGAATATTTAGAATTTTTTTGTTTTAATTAAATTTTATTTTTCACATATTCTTACTAAACGAATCTCACATTCTTTTTTTTGGTAATTTGATTAATTTGGATTATATTCATAAATTTGTATATCTAATTTAATAATTCAAGTAATATCAATAAAAATATATACATGTTTTGCCCAATATGTATCGAAATTAAACGTATTGTATAATAACACAAGGTAATTCTTTCCAGTTACAAAAGTTATGGTTAGTATTCTATACACTGGCTTCTCACAGACAACATGCGAGTAATGAAGGGTTAAAAGATGGTCTACTCCACTCAAAGGCAAAATGTAATGCTACAAAGAATTTTGAGAAAGTATACTTCTAAGAAACCGTGCAATTGAAGTCTCGTGTTATAAAAGTTTCTCTTTACATATTAATTTGTATTTTATGGGAAACAATAAAAACAGATATAACTGATGGAATCTATGTGACATATTCACCTTCATTGCATAATTCCAATTATTATATAAACTTAATATTTTAACCCTTTGTCGTCTGATGGTACTTTTAAGTATTTTTTTCTTTTTTTTTTGATGAAACTATTGATTGGAGCATTTTTTATCACGTTTATACATCCAGTTTTATATGTAGTGGAACCTCGCTTAACGAGTTTAATTCGTTCCAAAATTTCCGGATTTTTCTCGTATAATGAAATAATCGTATAGTGAAACATATTCAAAAATGCACATACTATGTATACACAAGTTTTAAAAATGATGAAGCAGGCGCGAAATCCGGGACTTCTCTTCTCATCGTCACTCGTTATGCAAAACGTCGCTAGTTAAGAGAGTCATTTTTCTTACAATTCATTTTGCTCGTTAATCGAGATTCCACTGTATATTTATGAAAATGAATCTGTTTTTGAAATCTAAATCACTATAATTCACTTAATTTAAGCTTAAAATTGCCTGACTTTACCAAAAAGTGCCCATTATCTTTTAATTGAAAATATTGCTGATATTTAATAAAAAGTTATAGGCAACTTAACTTTGATGTGTTTTAAAAGAAATCCAAAAATGTAATCTATTTTTTAATTTTCACTATGTTCACTAGGTAACAAAGGGTTAAATTGCAACAAAAATTAAATAAATTATAGTTTCTCCAGTTAATCGAATATATTTCGAAGTATCTGTCATTATACTAGTAGAACTATTTCAAAGGGCTTAAATTCATTTGCGACATACATTTCCAGCAAGAGCAGCTCTTTTCCTAATAGGGTCTTTTAACTTTTAAACCGAATTTCCCTACGTTTGATGCTATGCGAATCGAACATTTCCTATATGTTATATAATCAGTAGCTCGATGTCAAACTAATTTATTAAATATCGAAGTTCCAAAAAATAAAATCTGTTATATTACAAAGATAATTAATTACATTCAATTATCGTTAAATTTTAATAAGATTTAAACAGTTAATTAATTGCAATCAATTATTGCAAAAAATAATGCATCAAATAACGAAAACCTGAAAAATTAAAGCTGTTAATTACAATTAGTTATTATAAAAAGAATTATTTACTATGGACTTTATGAACGAACCAATAAATTTTGTAAAATTAATTATTTACATTCAATTATTATAAAATTAAATATTTATATCGCAGAGAAGGACTATTTTTCAATTAATTTTATTTATTCAATAATGAAATACCAATAAATACGAGCTATTAGGTAACAAAGCTAATTAATTACAATTACTGTGCAGAAAATTAAACTTAGAGTAATTCAATTATTGTAAAACACAGCAATTAAAAAAAAGATGCACTCATTTGCATATACTGAATTTCCTACACTACACGAGTTTGTTTATTGTTATTTGATAAACCCGTCGAATGATAAATGTGGGGTAGGGCAGAAGCCTCCGATAATCCAATGGATATTCATTAAAAGTTTATTAGTTTGCACCCGGCTGTATCTCCGTGGAAATTCCGCATGCAAACGCCAATTTTTAGTCGTAATGATTTAATGCTCTCCCACACATTTTTTTTAGTAACACAATCGCATGGACTGTATATTATATCTAGTTTTATTCAAAACCAATTCCACAGCTCAAACACATTTCCAAAATGAAATCACACAACGATTGCTTTAATAAACTATTTCTGTATTATGATCAATAGTTCTTAGTAACAGTTTATGTTTGATTACAATTATTTTATTGTTATTTGGTCTAAACTATTGATTGGGGCATATTAATTACTATGTTATACAATTACCTAATTAATGAAAGACAAAAAACAGTGTGAAATAAAAAATAATAAATTATTTATTACAATGTGCTAATTTTATATTACTTAGTTATAATAAGATTTCTATCAGACTATAAAACAATACATGTTTTTTTAAATAAATTAATATAAATTCATTACCGATAAACGGACAATCTGATGACGGGTAAATTTTTACAACAAATACCGGTAATTTCAGTAATAAAAAGAAGAAAAATCAAGTGAAATTGTTACCTTTTCATAGTGAAACTCTCGAGTTTTGAGGCATAAAAAGACTTAAATCAAAAGTAAGATAAATCTACTTCAATAAGATAATTTAGTAGATATTTTCATGATTTACTTAAAAAAAAATAACAAATAGCTTTATGCATGAAAACCAGTGATTCAATTTTAGATAAACATATGTTTCCATTCTATTTTTTTTAAATACAATACAGCAGTAATCTAAATTGAACTCAGTTAAATTAAACGAATTAATATCGTTACTATATGTGCGCATGCATGTACATACATTTTTTTCATATCCAGTATTGTTGAGCAAAAAGGTAATTAAACCAAATCCGGTGACTATATTAAAGCGAAACGGAATTATTTAACATTAAAATGCAATTAAATTAAAATAAATATAATGTAGTTTTATTGTCCGTTTTTATTAAGCGTGAAATTTTAAAATTTTAATTAAATCGCGACCAGCATAAAGGATTATCATGAAAACGGGTTTCCCTCCGATTATAATAGTGTACTCTTTTTTTTTAATTCGCTGCATAAAATTCTCATGCTTCATTATTCAGATTTCGGCTTTTATTATAACTATACACTTTTACATATTAAAGTTTGAATAGTACCGTTTAATTAGCCCATAGAATAAAGTTGTAACGATACTTTTGTAATTAAAAACAAGTGGTACGTGGCACATTAATTATTGAACGGTTTTTAGTATCGCATTGGGAGGTTTTCATAGATTACCGATGTGTTGTGTAGAATGTTTAATGGTATATGGAATAATTTAACTGGTCTCTACATTTATATATGTTAAAGTTTAAAATCCAATCAATATATGAACAAAAGCGAAAAAAAAACTAAAAAAATTGGAAAAGCTTCCAATAAATATACTGATTTATTCATTATCTTTACTTTGTACAGGGGCGAATCTTTGTGGGCTTTGTATACAGCCCTTATACAATAATATTAGCTTTGGTTTTCTAGATTTTTTAGACAGCAACTACATTAAACAAAGATGATTAATTTTAATTTCTAAGATTACTAAAACTTACCCTATTTTAAAACTGGTAAAGAAAAATATTTTAAAACCACTACTTGCGTGGAGTCTGACGGACTCTGCTAAGAGTATTAATATGTATTTACAAATCATCAGACCGTATGAAGAAAGTATTGTCTTTATTAGTAATTAATTTAAATTGTAGATACATTAAAGATAATGTGAGGAGTAATTGCTTAAACAATTGCATGTTATTAATCAAGTAATATCTTACATATTCAATTGTCCCTACAATGGGAGTTGTGGCTTTGTCTGGTACCCAAGTACACACCTTACGTTTGTGAATCTGTCAATCCTTGCGATTAGTTTGGGGTGTTCGTATTTGCTTTCGGTTCTAATTATATTGTGGGGTTTGTGTGAGCACCAATTAGTTACATGTTTGTTTTGCAGGAAGAGAGATTTCCACCGGCACCGGACGTAACCCGAAGACTTGGCGCGACGACACCCATAGGAAAGGGCGATACGCCGCCGTATTATAGGGCTGCATCGGTCACCAACAGCTCCAGCACTCAGTCTTCCCGTGAGTACAAACAAAACATTACACCTATTCCTATATCTGTATATATAAATAAATATAAAACAAATAACAAGCATCCGCCTACGCTGCCTTTTTTTCGCCGACCTTTGCAGAAATTGGATGCTCAGGATTATGCAATCGGAAGGCAAACAGACGGCGTCTAGCATGTCATGTTTACGGACAAGATCAAACGTACAATTTACCTTAAACATGGGATGCTATTACCGCTTCACTCAGAATCTCTTGAGTTTCATGTAATCACCGAATAAACATAAGGCGGAAAATTCGACATGCCTTATGCTTTTAATGCTACCAAACTTCTAACTATACAAATAATCACATAAAATTCTACTGTTCTTATATTTTCGTTTAAGCATCAAATTCCCTTAGTCAAATAAATTTTCAGCTAGACATGTTTTTCTCAAAAACATGTATATTAAACATTTATATTAAAATATAAATGATATAATTAAAAATTAAATGGATAATATCAAAGAAAGTCATAAGTTCATATATGAGACGTTATTTTAGAAAGTGTTGTTTTTAAGGCACTAGCCAATATATAATAAAGGGCAGTGCACACTGAAGTCGTAACAATCAATGATAATTGTAATTAAATCGTTGATTTTTCACTATGACTATTAAAAATGGAATTATACCACTTAAAAAGAAACTGAAACTTGAAAATAAATATAAAAATTTCTTTAAATAAATAAAATAGAAATAATTCCAAAATATATATGCTCAGAAATAATATTTATTGAAAATAATAATAACATTAGTTAATACAAATAAAATGAACCTATTGCAAGTATTATTTTGATTTAAAAATAAAAGTTTTCTGCATTACAGAATGACTTTTACCAATCATTTATTATTTTTTCAATAGCCCTGCGGTGTGCGTTTCGCGGCTTTAGATCGTTTTGTTGTCGGTTTATTTTTTGCGGAAAATTCATTTTCGCAATCGTTTGCGCTTTCATTATTTCTCGCAATTATTCGTCCGCAATGCGCGCAATAATTTTACACTAATTCCGGCGACCGCCCACGAATATGTTTTCGGATATTTATGGGTTCAAACGCGTAAACTGGGGTTGTCTCCCTGCCACCCCAAATCCCAGGATTCGAATGCCGCACAGGCTATTCCTTCAGTTAAACATTAACGTCAAAATGTTTTCGCTTTTGCTGTACTCGTAAATCGTGCGTGTGTTTTGCATTATTAAAATAGTTTTACTGTTTCATCTGAATGAGGTTATGGGGAGTTTTTTTTATATATGTACATACAATAATATATTAAATATGAATGGTTAGCGTGGTTTGAAATTATTGATTTTTATACTCGTAAAATCTTGATTTAATGCAATGAATAAACATAAAATACGGATGCGCCGGGTGATTTCGTTAAAAACCTCGGTTCTGCAACTATTTTTTCCCAACGGTCGTTTTAAAAACCAAATTGTTATATAATACAAACACTTTAACCAGAAAATTTATGAATATTACAAAGATTAAATGATTAATTTGCCTTTATTGCTTTATAACAGAGATTAATGTACAAAATTGTAAACAAATACAATTAATACATATATAAGTAATATATAAGAGTGTATATGCAATAATAAGAAATGTCATTTTTTGTTGCATTACTTTGAAACAACTTTGTCATCGGTTTGCTTTGAGATAACATGTCATGTTTAGTATCATTTTGTATCTCTGATAGTAATCTTTTTGTTTTGACAATTATATTTGGCCTATATTACAAAAAATACGAAGGACAGAGATTGACGAGACATATTTTTGACATTATATGCTGTTTTTACTTGATACAAGATTTAAATCCAAAGAAGCTATACAAGACCATTTGCGATATTTATTGAGTCATCTTAAATTCTAGAAAGTGTGTAGATAGTTTCAAAAGTTCTAAAGTTATGGTACGGAGTTCAAGGATAAACCAAAATTAGGGAGACCTCTTAAGATCAATAATGACACTTTAAACTCATTGGTGGAGTCCGAACCAACGTAAAACAATTAAGGAATTATTACAAGACCTTGCTGATCAATAATGAAAGATCATTTGAAAAGACTTAGGAAAAAGATAAACAAGAAATTTGAGTGGCGCACGAACTTTCGGCAACGACATTTGAACAACAAATCATCTTTCATCTCTCTTGTCCAGATATGAGACCATTTCGTTTCTTAGAAAAATTGTTAATAGGGATTAGAAGTGGGTCTTTTCAGCAATTGAATGAGAAAAATACGGGTTTCGTTAAATGATGTTTTATATAAAAAAAGATTTTGATATATTTTTCATCATCAGTATACATTTTCAATGTTTGTTTACTGTTTTCAATATTAGACACATTTTGAAGTAAATTGTGATAAAACTTTGAATATATTATAATAACCATATAAACACCCCGTGATGAATCAGTGGTCATTGTGAATGATTTGAAAACGCTTTTCTTTATGTCCATATAAATAATTAAGTATTATGGAATATTATATTATGTACAAAAGTTTTATATGGTTATGAAAACGTCTAATTTACGTCATTATGAATCAACTGTCTCTACCAATCAGTTGCAAATACTAAACCAATCCTTAATTTAAAAAAAAAAATCATAAAAGTCCATTTATTATTGCTTAAATATTGTATATAAATTTGCTTTTTAAATTATTTGCAAAATTTGCATGGTATTGAATAATATATCATTTAAAATATGTACTTAAAAGGTGCTCCAGTAATAATATAGTAGTTGCGTTTTACAACGTATATTACTACATATACCTAATGACGTTATTATTATAATAATTAAATGTACATTGCATATGTTATATATTATTCAAGAGCTTTTAAACTATTTTATTAAAATTGTCTATGAGGTGTATTTATACAATTATATATTAATAAAATATTATATATAATATTCATGCTTTTTATAAAATGTTCATTTAATTCAAGCCATTGAATATAGTGTATTGAAATTATTGAAATTTTAATGCAACAGGAATAATTACAAAAAAAAATATCTTTGCTAAGAAATACTACATTCCTAATTATATTGATATAAACTTACCATTTGATGATTATTGAATGCTTCACTTTTCTAGAAATTATTCAATCAATGTTGCACTTAATATAACATAAATTATTCATCTGGGATGTGAAATAAACATAATTTGACAGATGTCAAATAAATTTATGAACGTTGTATTCTTGGTTACAATTAATTCTTTGATCTTGGGTATCGTGATACAAATAAATAAGGTATAATTTCGCATATGTTGTCAGGTGATAGGATCAAAGTGATGTAATTTGGCGGGAAGTATTTAAATTTGTGGAAGTAGTCAATAAGCATAAAAATACAGCAATATCTTACATATTCCAAGTAATTGGTTTCTGCAATATCCCTGACTGCAGCAAGGGATTAATGTATTAGCTAATTCTCAACTTGGATTTTTTATATTTTTTTTGATATGACTTTATATACTGTTGAATTGAACCTTATATAATATACGGTTTTTCGTAAGTCGAATTTGTTCGTAAGGCGGGAGAATTTTAAAATTTCAAACTATACTTTATCATGATTTTTCCATATATATATGTTAAATTCCTTATTACTGTCTACATAGATATGAAAAAATAGATTGAAATAAACAAAATACTTACTTACAAATACTTTTCAATGTAGACATCACCATTATTTAATAAATAACGGCAAAAGAAACAAATGCAACAAAACAGATAGTACATCTTTTAAAAATATTATATTTTATTAAAGAAATTATCAATTTTTGTTTGGATAGTTAATTTAGAATCATTTTGTTCGTAAGTCCGGGAGTTCGTAAGTCGGGGGATACCTGTATTTGTATGATGTAAGTATTTGTTTTTGGCGGATTGTTAATACAAATTTGTAGTCTAGTAAATGTAAGTCTTGTTTTACTTGCCTTGTTAGTATTCAGGGTAGACCACATGTTAGATACATCGTTTGTATATTTTTTTCTGAAGATACATATAATTACACAAAAATTGCAAATAAACATATACCCAGAGGACAGCTAAATTGAGGGTGAGTCAGATTAATGGGAATACCAAAATGTTATCTATAATGAACCATTTCTAGGGCGAAAGGACGACGCGACGCTGCGCCACTTATTAACCACTAGACACCTCCTGGCCCTGTAAATTAGAAGCGCGAGCGTTTCCGTCGACCCCATCCTCACAACCCTCGATTCACACACCACCCTCAATTTCAACCCACCGATTTTCGTCCTATGCACGCTTAACACACCGATGTAGTTCAATTTGCACCGGATTACCATTTTCAAATAGCGCTAAGGGACTAACAACATTCACAGACACAATCTTGCATACACATACAGCGACTCCTGGGCATTAAGACTCACCCTCCCACGCGAATATATTACACGACGGTATTAGAAAATCTTAGTCCCAGAAATATTGCCTTCCAGTCTTACGCCAGAAATTTAATTAAACTATTTACAATCTCAAGACGTCTCCAACGTACAAGACACTATTTTAAACAAATTTAAGACGACCTTAAATTTTCACGTATATTTTTTTTTCGGGTACTTGATGTTACACAGTTTAGAATTACTTTGCTGTTTCAGGACTAATTTAATGATAGAACTGAGACAATTATTACAGTTTCTAGTTTTTACATCACAAATTATATAAATATAGTGGAACCTCACTTAGCAAGTTTAATCCTCTCCAAAATTTCTGGATTTTTACTCACATAGTGAAACATATTCAAAAATCCACATAAGATTTGTAGACAAGTTTTAAAAATCGTTAAGCGAGTCATTTTTTTTAGAATTAATTTTGCTCGTTATGGGAAATGCTCGTTATACAAGGTACTCGTTAAACGACGTTCCACTGTATATTGATAACTATTATTGACAAATACAGAAATTATATACGGTATACCTCATCTAATACTTAGAACTCGTTCCAGGATGAAAGAGATTAAACAAATCACATT